CCTTCAAAGGTTCCGGTTGACTGTGAATACTATGTAAGGGGATCGGGCGTGAGTTCCAACTGTTCATTTCTTTAACTTCACAGCGATGCCTGTAATACGGTTCCACTGAACAATTAGGCAATTCCTGGGCCCTGTTTACCTACAAGTAATTCTAAATTGAGGGCCACCGGGCAACCTAGTCAGGGTCCCTCCTGAACGTCAAGGGGATATTTCCAGTGAAATTTTCCTCACCTCCTGTGGTTGGCAACTTCATTCTTTAGGGTGTTGCAGACCCACGACCCTGGGACACACTGTAAGAGAAACATGGTTCCAGTTGTTATTTTTTCCTAATGATTTTGTTGCAGTGGGATGGGCCTGTAATAGTCCAGGACCTTGTGTGTGACTATGAAAAAATTGCCAAGTGTACACCCAATAGCAATAAGCAGCTACATTTACTGGAGATCAAGGGAAGTTGTGCTCAGAGCAAGACCATGCCACCAGAAGATAATGAAGTAACGGAAGAATGCCCAGGGGTGACAGAAAAGTGCTATGTGCAGGTCCACGGAGAAAAAAGGTGGAGGAAAAAATGGTAGACTCCTGACTCCACGAAAACATAATAATGTGTGACCACAGACACAAAGTTCCCTGGAAACCCTGCGGTTGGGACTACTGATGGAGACTCTAATCAAGTGCAGGAAAACCGTCTGGGCTTTTCTCCATATCGACCGTTTAAGTGAAATCCCTATACCAGTGTGTGCTGAATACCTCCTGCTGGTGGTGAGCACCGCTGCAGAGAGGTTTCTGTCTGTGCTCACACCGACATCTGTTACTGTGTTTGCACACAGTAGTGCATGGCTGTGTCACCTGTGGTCACAGAGTTCAGCTGCTGGGAGAACTGATTCTTGGCTGTGTCTCTGGAGATGGAGATGCAGCTCTTGAGGGACAGGCTGTAGCTAGCGCCACCACTGTAACTTATGTCCCCCACCCACTCCAGGCTCTTTCCCTGGGGCTGTTGGATCCGCTAGTTCCACTGGTTGTGATGGAGAATCCAGGGACTATGCTGGTGAGGGACAGGGTCTGTCATTTGCACAGGGCTTCACCAGGCCAGGTCTAGGCTCCTGTAGCTGCACCTGGGATAGGACATGTGAGGACAAGAAACTCCTGTGAGTCACGTGCTTCCATATCCCTCCCATGGACCCATGTCTCACACTGAGGACTCACTTTGGACACCTGTCATGAGGCCCAGAATAAGACCCAGAAATCTCACCTTCTAGACCACACCCTGCCTTCCCAGAGACCTCAGCCCTTTGGAGGAGAGAGCTCGGAGCTCAGACAGCTGAAGAAGGGAATTTGAACCTAGAGTTGGAGGGTAAATTTGCCTGAAGGGAGTTTCCTCCTTCAGTGATGGAGAGACAGAGGTCAGGGTATTTCTGGTCCTTTTATGCTGCTGAAAGAAACCTTTTCTCCTG